TGGCTGGAGGGATCGAGTTGATTCATAAGCGCCCAAACGACGGCCGCTGCTCGTGTGCGTGCTTTTCGGACGTCCACTTGTCTGCAGACCTATCCAGACAACATGTGCGTTGCCGTATGGGGTAGGGGTGATCGCAAAATTGACATTTTTGAGAATGCTGGTGTTGCCTAAAAAGCAGCGGCGTGCATTTGCAGCAAGCTAGTTGGTCAACCATGAATATATATATATATATATATATATATATATATATATATATATATATATATAACCTAACTCACTACACATATTCATACATTTTACAAAACACAAATACACACACCAATCTCATCCGGTCTATCCAAATCGACTTATTTATTTTAAAACATCATTCTCTAAGAACTCAAACAATTAGTTGAGAATAGTTCATCTAATAGCTTTAGTTCACTATCAAACTGATTAGGAATTCAGTTGTCTTCTTTTTCAACTAATGTATTATTGCCAGCAAAATAGCAACAATGATAATAAAACACATGTACCTTATTTCGCATATCAATATCAATTGAAATATTGAAAACAACTGAATTGTACATTGATTGAATCATTAAATCAAGAATTATATTCGTTTTCTATATCAAAGTATTTGATTAAGAAAAATGGCGCAGAACAAGGAGAGAATTTCGAAAATGTCATGTATACATTGTATATTAGAATGGTTTGTAACATGAAACAGAATATAAAAATCAAAGCGGACAGCGAGCGAGCGAGAGAGAGCGTAAATCGTGTTTGATCTATTATTTTTTTTATCGGATGAGAATAAACTGAGTGTGTGAAGAAGCTAGTTTTTTGTTCTAATGTGTTTATAACCCACTTACCTACATCAAAGAATGAAATATTGAATGTTGAACAGTAGTGTATAGTTGTTTTATTCTACTTCAGGTCATTACAGCAACGTGGCATTTATAACTCTTATGTTGATCATTCGTATGACTTTCGAATTCCTCAGCCAGAGAGAAATACTCATAGATTACTGAATTTGAATATAATGATTTTTCCAAATGAAACAGTATGAATATGTGATTAGTGAAAGAGAATAGATTGTTTTTGAACAGAGAGAAGGAATTCATAGTTTAAAATGATTGTAGACGGTTTTTGTGCGATGACTTCTGATTTGTTTTAGAAATGTTTAAATTGTCGATCCGTGGAATTTGTAATAAATGTCAGATCTGTTTTTTTTCCGGATGAAACTGAACTAAGCCAATCGTGAATGCTGCTTTAGTTAAATTTGATTGTTACTAGTTAAATGTCATCAAATATCAAGACATTATTGCTGAATGTGGAGGAACCTTGGAAAACTATGAAATCCATTATCCAGAAAATGTCTACCAGAAATAGTCTTTGGCAGACACTATTAGAAACAACCAACTGTAGGACAGAACAAACCAGATTCCAGCAGAGGAACAATCAGGAAGAAGCGCTGTAAATCGATAAGACACACTGAGAGGAAAGCTGCCGACTGCACCACAAAAGAAGCCGTCACATGGAATCCTCAAAGCTGAAAGGAAAAGACGAAGTCCGATGAACGCATTACGCCCAGAATTGAAGATAGAAATGAGAAGAATAACAAAACATTTGGACAGAACTGGAACAGGAGGCCTAGGACAGAGTAGGTTAGATAATACTGGTCGGCAGTCTATACTCTGTTGAAGTAACAGGCAGAAGTTCTTTCCAAGTTCAACTGACTTCAAATGTCGGATAGCATTGGGCAGTTGTTTCATTCTATTTCAGGTCAAGTAGGGTTTGTCACTGTGGTACGCTTGCAGCTATTACGAGTTCAACTTAGTCGATAAACGCGAACGAGACAATTACCAACGTCCAGATACGCTACCTTGAATCCCAAGCTGACGATAAAAGGCTTTGTAAGCGTAGAAAGTTTATTCTACAAACACCCAGCAATCACACAATACAATCAAGCACACAACTCTCGTTTATTTATACATCATAGAAACGTCATTGGGACAATTATGAAAATAGCACACTAAAATACACAGCAGTTAATCACAGCCATGGATTTTCCTGGTGTGAATTGAAATCTCAAGGTCAATTGATCGGCCCATGCTCGCACACGTTAAATCTAAATTAAGGCATTTAACAAGCGAGTTTTGGAGATCTAACATCCCCAACAGGTCATTACGTCAATGAAGCTCTATTATTAATATTAGTGTCATTAATAATCTACTCAGTTAACACTGACCGAGAGACTTGAATGACTCGTCTTAAATTCGAAATAGGGCTCACCAATTATGTGGTACGTGACTTGACTCTAGTTAGACGCATTAGTGATCGAGTATGCGATGAAATAAATCTTCCTTTTCATTTCCGTTTATCACATACTTAAGCAAATCCCGTTTGTGCGACGGCGGTAATAAAAAGCCAATTACAGACATATGAATGAAAAGCGTACAAGCATAGCAAAGCGAATCGGAGAAGGCGAGTTAGTGAGCCATCTCTTGACGCGCTGAACCATTGACTAACTATTAATAGTCAAGCAATAATAGGCTAGACATGTTGTAATAAGCTAGTAAGCATCCACATACACAATCAACTGTACACTAATCGATACTGTCATCGAATTATTACATACATAAAAATTGATCGATACACTTATCGAGTAATTTAAACGATTAATCATTTAGTTAAGTATAGTGAATAAATATTGAAGTGCTACAAGAATACTAATCACCTATGTTGGTTCATGTTTCCTTTTGTCATTGAACGACATGGCTCAGAATCGTTTGCAATGGCGCAGGTACATCCACTCTTTGTGTTCTATGAAATTCCTCATAATCTCTACTTTTCTCCTTTTAAATTTATCTTACTGAATTATACTTCTCGAATCATATCTTCGCTCCCTAATCTTCTCCATTACTGCTAATAATTCTATTATTGCTATCACTCTTGGATTTGAACTGACAGTTGCGTCTATGTGCTGATGGGGCATGGCAACCTCTGAACTGATGTAGGTACGTACGAAGTTCTGCGTTGTATCTATCTGTCTGTCTGTCTATCATTAATAACACATTAGAACTAAATCAGTAGTACACTGAATAGCAAAAGAGATTGAAATCATGTCATGTAAATAGTATTAAGGCGATACATTAGGAGTCTGATTCGAAATAGACAGTGTAGGCTAAACAATCAATGTATTAGAGCCAATATGAATAATTTTGAGCAATTTCACTGAAAATTTACACTCACTGATCGTTAGTTTATGACATGAACTCGAATCAAGTATTCTACATCTACCGACATTCTTAAATTATTCCCATATTTTGGTTAGCACTCCCTTAACATTATTTCAGTAAATATTATTTGTCAAAATAGGCAGTGATTAACTGGACATAACACATATCCTAAACATATATTAAAGATTGAGAACCTTACTTGCATGTTAGCCCTATGCTTAATCTCAACATTACTGTTCAATCAGTAAGTAGTTCCGGAAAGCGTGAAAATTTTATTCAAGCATACGAACACTCTATGACCTGAGAATGCTTTCAACTGCTTATAGAACATGTTTTAAATCTAATAAACTCTAACACATGATACTATTTTGAAAAGGACAAGCAAACGTTTTTTTATCGAATTGTTGTTGCTGTTCTTATCTAATTAAAACAAATCATTTTAACCTTGGATCAATTTCCTTTTCTTTCAAAAAATAAATTGATCAGATCAAAGTGTTTCCCGTTTTATTCATTCATTTCTGATTTATTTCATTGTTTCATCATGTCATGGTCAATTTGAAAAAAACAAAACACAACACAGCACAAGATTTTATCTGCCTTTTTATTTGCGTAAAATTAAAATGAATTATTCATGAGAATATTGTTCAATCTGGTCATTGTGATCAGATCTATTGTTCTTAATGAACTTGATTTATTCGAGATTTATTTTTCTGGACTGAGAAAAACATACTGAATAGAGGATTTGTTCGTATTGTGTTTTTGATCAAAAGAATGATTTGACTGTATAATCACTGCTGTTTGTAATAAATCCATTTGACATGGTGAGTTATACTACTCGTAACATGGCTTGTAAGTAGTGAACAACGGAGTGTCGCTTTGAAGTTACTGACGAAAAAGAAACGATTGGATCCGGTCAGGTTGACTTGTAGTGAAGGA